TAGCCTTCAGCCTTTTTTTGTTTTTGTTATTTGAGCCCTTAGAGTCCCTTCCCTCTCCTTGCAGTCTTTTCCACTGGAAAAGCATATGGGAAGTTCATAGGTCTAAGTGCTGCTCTCTCATTGGTTTTAGGTCAAACAGAATGAAAAAGAAACAAGGGCTGAAAAATAAAAAGGAATAAATGAAACCATGAATGCATGGGAAACAAATTAACTGAATATGTTTTACATTCAGAAATATTTCCATAATGCTTCTATGTAGTGTGTGTTTATTTTTCTTTGAACAATAACGTTAAAATGTGTCTAATTCAATTACTCTCTGCACTCATTGAATGATTTTTTCTCGGTGAAGAGTTCTCCTACACTACCCCAAGCTACAAATTCCATACGATATTTGAACAGGTCCTTTTAATTGCTGATATTAAGTGTCGATCATTCTGCTGCAAATTGGCAGCATGGTCAAAGAAACAGATTCCTCTCTCAGATACATCAGACAGTCATTCAATTAACAACCAAAGCTTTATTGACACAGTAGGAATTCATTATGTGAAATATTAAAAATGCCCTCCATGACTAGTTAAAAAAAAGAAATACTTTTAAACATGGTGGATTGTCTACATGCAGTTATTAACATTATTCATGCAGAATTTGAAATTATAGTTATGGTGGAAATATTTTCCTCAGAGGCATAACCAGCATTTCTGTTGAAAAATAAGTTGGACTTTGAAAAGATGAATATGATATATTCATCCTTATTTCCATAGACTTTGTGCATTTTCTTGATTAAAAGCCTTAGATTTTATAAGTTATGGCTTTAGACTTGCTGCATAAAGAGCTTCATGGCTTATTCTGTTAGAGTCTAATTTGAAAGAAAGTTCTTCCTCAAGGGTTTAAGAAGTAATTCATAAAATGGTAAGAATAATAAATATTGTGCTTTAACTCATACACTGGGGTAGATAGACAGATTTTGTACACCTGGGTGTAATTTTAGTTAATTCACACAAGAGACAGGCTGAAAGTTTATTGTTTGGAAGGAGAAAAATGGCTTAAATCTTGTATTTGCAAAAATGATTATATTAGCTTAAATGAAAATGCTACTCTATTAATGGCTTCAATAAGCTTTGCATTTGGAAAAGTATTTTAATATAAAGTTACCTGAAGTTTACTGCAACTTAAAATATGTAAGTGAGGGAAAAAGTACTTACTTTGATTTATATGTCTTTTGGAGGTGTAATTATTGGCTTTTTACTCACCTATGTAAAACAATGTACTTTTGTAAATGGATTTCTGGCCACTTTACTCCTTTTTTTTTCTACATAAAAAGTAAGCACTGTCAATCAAAGAATTTTAAGGTTTATTTCCTCTTTAGAAATGATTGATAGCCTTTTAGATTTACAAGTTGACAAGTTAAAGGGTTCTATTGGTATAATTATGTACTAAATTCACAGTCTTTCAATTTAAATGTCCTTTTAAAACCGCAAGATTATCATACCTGTATTTTGAAAAGTGGGCCAGTCAGTTTGGGTTGGTATACAAATTGCTTCCATTAGCCTTGGGACCTATTTGAATTCAGTACAGTTTTTTAAAGTTGGTAGTACTTTCAATAGTACTTTTAAAATTTAGGGTAATGGGATTGCATTTTAAGTACAGTATTTGTTAGCTTGTTTCTAATGTACGGATGTCAAGAACACAAACAGTTTCTTATTGATTCTTTTTTTCTAATCATGGAAAAAAAAATCCAACCCCATTCTTTGAATTAGAGCAATGGGAAATGTGTTACTTTGAATGGACTTCAAAGGCAGAGACAAGGCTCCTGTGTAGTCAGGGCAAAGGCAGAACATTGCCTTAGCTGCCACAAATGGTGGCCTGAGCTCTGGCGCTTCCACAGTGCTTGGAGATCAGAATATCACCTTTTCCTTGGAGTTTTTCCAGCTACTGACAGAGGAACTAGTGTGGCCTTAGCACTGAAGGTGGGGTTAAGTATTTAAATAGGGCTTTTTCTTTAAGGTATGAGTAATTACATTTGACTTGGATTATAAATGTACTGAGGAATGGAGGGCTGATCTCATCCAATCCGTGGTTAGATGTTCAGGCAGTTAAAGATTTTTTTTCTTATTTATTTTAATTAATATTGAAAGGATTGAACAGTTAAAGACTGAGTGATATTTGACAACTACAGTTTAGGACCCAATCCTGCAGATTGCTGTGTGCAGCCTCTCCCCACCACTGAAGTAAAGCTGAAGCTATTTGAAGCAGAAAGTTTTCAGTATTTCTCAGAGGATGCTTGATGCTTGGTGAGATTGTACCATAAAATTAACATTTTTTTTTTGGTCATTTAGTTCACAAAATACTCACAGGAAATACTCTGTGGATTTCAAATGTGTTGAATGTGTGGGAAGATACGAGAAAATGACTGCTATCTCTGGGGGGATTTCAGAACTGGCCTCCATTTATAATATTGCAGAATTTAGTAACTACCTTCCCAAAGGATGTAAAGGGAAAATGGCCATAAACTAGGCTGAATTAGAGAAGAAACACATTTGACAGAACCACACTAAAATCATCTAACTTATTTGCAAAAGAAATGTAAATTAGAACTGTAGTGGGTGTTTTTTTTTTAATCTTTCCAAAGTAATGCTATTTTTTATAATAAAAATAAATAGCAGTAAATTAATTTATTGCAGAATTTTAAGAAGGTCTAAACTACATGGGTCCACAATAAGAAGCCATGTAAGGAAACTCAAAAGGTAATGAAACTGGGGGTTTACAAACCCAGGTACTCTAATGTTTTCTGCAAAACTACACAACAGAGTGGGCAGCATGTAGCTAAGGCATAAAAAGAAAAATGGGGAAAAAGCCAAATCATCCCAAAAACAACAAGGGCACAACATGGGGAAAAGTGTTATTCTCACCTTTTCCATACAATGACCTGAATATAAACAAAAGATTAAATTCAGATATTCCTGATAAAAGGAAATGCATGTGGAAAACTGAGGTGGCTAGAGGGATGCCATGATCTTTAGGGAAATTAAAAACTTCAGATAATAACCCAGAAAGTAAAGTAAAATCTAGAAAGATTTCTAGTCTTGTGTTACCATAACACTAACATTTCAGGATATGCTCGGAAGATTCCTTTCTGATATTACAGACATGTTGAGATTCTGCTGGGCTGTCTGCCTCTCCAGCCAGTCCCATCAGCCACACACCTCTGTCTCACTGCTGTTGCCTAGATGTGAATTCCCAAACACAACCTTCTCCCCCAACTTGCAGTAGGATCGCTGAGCCTGCTTTCAGAGCTGGGACGTACTGAAGGTCCAGGAGGCTATAAAAATCTGACTCTTTGGTTGCCAGTGAGACCATCTGCTGTAGAAATGTGATTTGGAAATAATAATTTAAATGGAACAGTTTTGTTAAAAAGTGGACTGTTCTGTGAGATTGTTCATGGAACAGCAATTAATTAAAAACAAGATATTGCTATAATGATAGCAATGTGGTCTGGCTAAAAATCTTTAATGTTAGGAGTGTGAAATTATGTTCTTTTCACTTGAAAGGTAAAAAAATTGTGCCGTGTTTATCAGACGGATGGAACAGCGTAACTTGCTTTGGGATAAGCACTGTTAAGCCACATGGGAGTGCATACACAAGTGAGGCTTCGAGATACAGTTTGATGCTAAATCTCTTTGCACTAATCAGATGGCATCATTCTAGCCACATAATAAAATTTATCATAAAACCACCATAAAATTGCAAGATATATTAATAATTTAAAAGTTAAACTTTGTGCAAGAATTTGTTGGTTTTTTTTTTGCTATGAATAAACTAAGACAAAATAACAGAAACTTTAAAATGACCCCAAATTACAAACCCTTCCACAAAAAAAAAAGGATGAATATATAAAAATCCATATTTGATTTTTTTTTATTATTTTGCACTTAATTAAAAAAATTGCAAACAAATTGCTGTGGAAAATTTCATCATCTTTATTGGCATGGGAGAGTCAAGATGCGCTGTTGTTTGGAGATGCTTGAGAATGCTTGACTGTTGTTCCAGTTCGCCAAAGCACTTAGGAAATTTTAAGCACATGTTGAAGTCTCACTACCATCTGAGCTTTAAAGTGATCATATGACTGGAAATATAGCTAGAAGGTCATTCAATGCAGTCCCCTGTAATTATAGGCAATCATATAAAAATCATAATATGCTCAAATTTGCTTTGCTGAAAGCAAATGGGTTTAAGTATGTGCTTACAGATAAGCGTGTGCTTAAAGGCTTGGCACAATCAGAGGTTTGATTAATGCAGGCGGACCAGCATTTTTATGAAGATTAAAGTGTTCCACTTCCATCATTTCTCCCTTCTATTTTATTGGACAAGGACTGTGGAAAGATGAACTAAAACCATTTTTTTTTCAATTCATTAAGACTTTGGATCAGTTCAGTGCTGCTCGGAGCCTGAGATTGGCTGCTGAAGTCAGTGTTGATGAGTAAATAATAAAGCCTCTGCCAAGACAAATTCCTGTAGTTCACAACAATACTATATGTGATCATTGCACATGGAGCATATTAAACATATAATAGAATCTGGAACAATGAGAGACCCTAATAGTTGCTTGTCTTTTCTTGCAATCACAAAGGACCTTCTTCATAGTATGAAAGCAGGGAAAAACTCAACACGAAACATGGGGTGTATTTATCAAATTAATTTAATCATGGCTTTCAGAGATAATAATTGCTTCCTATTTGGAAGAAGTATACAACATCCCCAAATTTTCCAGCAAACTTGTTTTAGGTACTTAAGTGGGAAGGTTTGCACTGCTGTTTGAACCAAAGCCTCAGAACCAACCTCAGTGTTTGAACCAAGACTTCATAGTCAGTGCTGATTTCAGTAAAAGGGGATTTTGCTGTGACCCTTCCGTAGTCTTGCAATGCATTGCCAGTTGTTACAGTGCAACAGAGCCTGCTTGCTATGTGTTTGTCACATCATGATGATGTTTGTTGTTGTTTCAGCTCTGAATGAACCCACCATTGACTATGGTTTCCAAAGGTTACAGAAGGTTATACCCCGGCACCCTGGTGACCCCGAACGCTTGCCAAAGGTCAGCACAAAGTTTATTGTTTTATTAAATATGGTAAAGCTGGTTGCTGCATGTTTTTGTCTGAAAATGCAAGACTGTAAATGTAATGGTCCTGTTTTGGTACCCAACCCAGATAAGTTGAAACAGAGGCATGAGCAGTAAAGCCCAGTCAGCAACTTTCATTGTAGGTTTATGAGGCTTCTGTAAATTTCTGAATCACAGCTAACTCAAACAGCTCTTGCCTTTCCTAAAAGCAACCCTTACTCTGTGTTTTGAAACACTTAACAAAGAACACATATTTGGTTGATAGTTTGGAACCTGAGCAGCTTATACATAGGAGAATGATGTTTCTTCTTGGTATCACAGTAGTACTTGCCAGTATAATTTTGAGAACTTCACTGTTGATAAAATCAAGTTATTTGGATCTTCAGGGAATGTGTGTCCACTGTTGCTGCACCATGTATTGGTTTAGGATAATAATTATTATATACTGCTTTATTTCAGGATTGCTGAAATTATTAAAACAATGTATAATAAAGTGATTTGATCTTTGTTCCCATCAAAATTAGTGAGAGAGTTTTTGTTGATTTCTGTTGAATAAAAGCTGAGGAAGTAAGAGAATAATTCACATAGGCTTCCAGTACTTCTGCCTTGTACTGTGAAAACACTGTCTGGGTCTTCATTTATATCTGTTCTTGCTCCATTGCTATACTGTACCTTTTCTGGTGAGAATTTGTGGTGAGTTTTGTGATATACCGGAAAAAGAGGTGGAGTGTTTGAAAAAGTGTTGGTCTTTGCCACAGGAACACTGAGCAATACTGGGCATGGGTTGCAGTCACTGTATGTGACCAAGTGCCACCATGCGTTGTTTTGTTATCTTTTCACTTGCTCTAGCATCATGGCTGTTACTGAGTGAGTTGAGGAGTCAAATTGGCCAAGTGTGTGTATTTGGAGAACACCGCCTTTGGCTTATGGAAAGAAAAATGTGAATTTGCAGACGTGAGGCATAAAACAACTTGGGCTTTGATGTCCTAGTCTAGATCCCTCAAATAATACATGCCTTTGTGACTGGGTAAATCTTGTGACCTTTTTTCCGTAGCTGTCAGTAGGTTTTCATCAGGGGATTGCTGTGGGCTTTGATTAGTTAAATTTCTAGTGTTTCAAAGGTGATATGTCACAAACACTGTAACTTAAGTTGGCTTATTTCTTGACAGAAATAAAATTCAGTATGCGACTTTAATACAGGTACATTAAGTCTTTTATCTTTGCTGAGGAGGGCTGTAGACTGGTTTTGGGGTAGATGGTGTGTTGTCCTTCTCTCTTACCACCAGAGAAACATGGCATCCTGGAGAGTTACATTTTACATTGGCTCTGTTCACCCTCTACAAGCTGTCCCTTTCTCTGACTTTTGGACAGATTTGCAGCAGGACACAGCTTTCATAGGTTGTCAAATTTCCCTCCAGAGGTGCAACCCTTTCCAAAGAAAGACAGCATCCTTCTGTAGAGGCTCTTTCATCTGCACCGTGCATCTGCTGCCAAATGTGCACGTGGAGAAAAACTGTTTCTCAGAAAATAAAAGACCAGCCTTCACTATGCACCAGGCATTTGCAACGCCTGAAAGAAATGCTGCAAATCTTCCCTGAGCCCAGTGTCTCAGGTTATGTTTGCAGAGGTATGATGTGATAGCCTTAAAAGAAAGTTACTGTTTAAGTACTGAACAAACTCAGTAAAGAAACTAACGTCACTATGCGCGGTTAGAGGGAAACAGGACAAAGAGGACCTTTTTCTGTTTGTCTTTGGGTAATTCTTTCTATACAAGCTTGAAGGTTGGTCCTCAAGTTCAAGACTCATTAATATGCCATGCACAGAGACTGAATGCAGCAGGGGTTGGCACATGTCGACTTCTGTATTTGAGGCACTGATGGTTCAATTCCCAGCATCACTTGCTGGCTCCAGGATCATAATCAAGGACGCAGTGAGTCTCTGTGCTGGGTGAGCACTGCACAGCGTTCTTCCCCATGTCATTAAACCAGGAAGGGCTTTGGCAGTATTCCACTATAGACAATTCTCAGTGGCTACTTAGAAGAGAGTTGGAAGCCATATGGCTTCCACAGTGGAACCACGGGCAGAGAGGGCAAATGTACGAGAGAGACAGAGTGCGAGACAGCAGAGAGGAGAGCAGTATATCCTTTCCTCCATTTTCCCCGTTGTCTTGGCAGTGCATCATCACTTTCTGTTCATTAAAAAGCTTGTACTTATAGATTAAATAAGTAAAGCAAACCACATTTTTATAATTGCTGCTAGGCTTTGTGGCCATTATTCCATTGAAACATTACTGATGAATTAAAGATCTTTCAAGAAACTGAAACCATTATAATTTCTGTCTTCATAAGGGCATGCAAGTCCTTCTCATGGAACAACAAGAGCATTCTGCTGTGTGACTTATCCCTGCAGTCAAGGAGAATTGTTGAGGTTATGAAGTGAGAAGTAAACAGCCATACCTGTGCCAACAGGCTTTTCTAAAACTATTGAGGCTATCTAAGTTTGATCTCCACTGGTTTAGAACTGGAATTTTCAGAAGTGTTCATTGTTCATGCATGGGATGATTTTTTAATTTTTTTATTTTTTCTTAAATGTTCCACCCAGCTGCTGGAAATAGGAAAAAAAAAAGACAGATTTTTATTTTTTACTTCTGTCTCCCAGTGCTTCAATAACCAAGTTTCATTGGAGAATGTCCTCCCATAGGAGGAGTAAGGAGAACAGGAGCACCTGAGAACTAGGGTCTTTGGACTGCTAGACTGAGTCGATGTAGAGATGTGTTTAAAGCAGAAATGCAATATATAGTATCTGGAGAAAAAAGAGTGGGAGCTGATGTTGACAGCTGGGCTTGTGGAGCCAGCTACAGGCCAGAGTCCTGCTCCCTTCTTGCACAGAGCAGGTCAGGGAAAGCAGCCAGTGGGGTTGTCACTAGCAGATGTGCGTGTCTGTACCTACACACACACACAAACGCATGCACTGAGAGACAGGCAGTACAGAGGTGGTGGGATTAGCACCCAAATCTTGGAGTGAGACCAAGTACCAGGAGTGTGCGGGGCAGTATAGTCTTTCCTTTCTAATACAGAAAGGAGACAGATCAGAGGAAACAAGGGATCTCTGGGGAGAAGTGAAAAGAAATACCATGATGCTAATGTTAAGAAATCATATCGTTGTCCTTAGGAGCAGTCTGTAGAGAGCCTGCCTGTGGAGCTGGGGAATAAGCCTACGCGGATGTGTGCAATTTACCTGTCTCATATGTTTGCATATGTGCACACAAATACACACGTGTTGTTGGTTCTTGCATACATAACTGCAGTGAAAATCACTGGTGAGTTCAGATGACAACAACATGTTGAGTGCGTCGAGGTTCATTCATGTAGCTACCCTACAGTTCTTGAAATAAATCCTTAACAGATATGTTGCAATGGTGCAATTTTGTTAAAACTCCACAGCTATAGCTGTAAAACAGTTTCAACTGTGAGCTAGATTTGAAACACACCCATCCTAAATGATTTAATAACAACAATTCCTCTTTATATGCGATTTCCTAGAATTTATTTGCCATTTTCACCCCTCTTACAACTCATCACTTGTATTTAGATTAAGCACAAGATTAGTCACTCTGTATTTGAGAAGCAAGTCACTGCATGGACCCCCTCTGTGATCTGACGCCCTCTCTCTCCCAATCTGTTGTGCAAATGCTCTCTCTAGGAGACCCCTTGTCCTTACTGAAGGGACCTTTACTTCTGGTTTCTCTTCATGTAGATGAAAGTGGAGCCTGACTCTCTCTATCATATAGGGACCTCCCTGCTGAGCAGAGAGCACATGTAGCCGGGTTAAACCATCCCTTCAGCTCCTTTTCTCTGGTCAGTTGTTAGACCCCCCTCAAGACATATCCCACCTCCTCGTTTAGGACACTAATAGAAGACAGGTGGTTATTAGGAACCAGTGGCTGGCAAAAGCAGTTGTCTTTGCCCATATGAAATCCAACAGATCTGCCCTTTATCCATCGTGTCACAGGTATTGTTTATATTGCAAATAAAGGTTGTCTATAAATGTGGGTGGGTTGGCCCAGGCATGTTAGCAGAGGTTAAAATAGCAATGGAGACAAGGCAGCTCACGTTTGCTGCTTCAGACAGACCCAATGGAAATTCCGGACTGGACCTCCATCTGCTAACTCAAGATGCTGTATTTTAACATAAGTTAGTCATTTTCAGCTAAGAAAGCACATATTTGGTTGGGTTTTGGTTTTTTTTCCTCCACCCAGTGTAACAAGAGGGTTATTAGAAAATTATTTTACTAAGTGTGAGCAGGAAGGGGAGACATGAAGAAAAGCTGCTGGAGTTCATCTGTATAGCAAGGAGAGCATGAGATGTGCTTGCTGCTTTCTACACTGTACTGTAAAATTTATAAGAATGTGAGTCCGGAGTTAAGGTTGGTACTGAATCCTTAACAGTTGGGGGCTTTAAATTTACTAACAGTTGGGGCATTTAGTTGGTTGAGGGGCTTATTTGGCTTGTTTTGGGGGGTTGGTTTTCAGTTTATCCTACTGAAAATATTCAGGGAGTTTCAAAACTATTGAGAAGAAGACAACCAAGATATTTAAGGCTGCCATGAAAGTCCATGTCAGAGGCATGTCTGGGAATATGCAGAGCCTGAAATGAGAGGGAGCTAAGAGACAGAGCCACACTGCTCACTGAAGGGCAGAGCCACATACAAATGGCTGGCAAGGAGCCCTTTCCTTTCTGAAGGTCACCAGTGTGCATACACATTTCAGTGAGTTTTCTTTATAAGTGGGTCAGCATTTACTCAGCAAATGATTAGAGCAGATGGTGTAGTTTAGAATCTATGACAAAACTTTTAATAGATCAGGGCTAACATGATGACAGGGAGCTCTGCGCCATTCCCCATTCCTGATTCCTGCTTTGCCTTGGGGTAAAACTCATGCCTGGGATTGGATTTTCTAGTCTGCACATTCCATCTGA